GATAAAGGCCCCCCCCCCCCTCCCCGCGTCGCCCTCTCCGTCATTCGTGGGCGATTCGGTCGTTTCAAACTGTCGCGCTTGTGTGATTCCCGTTCGCCGCCATTCTCCTACGCATCCGGAGACAGCCGTCGCAGGACAGCTGCGATCGAAGGACCGAGTCGGCTGGCGGGAGCGCGCGCTTTTGCGAGGGGGACGACAAAGATGGAAGGCTAGGCGGCGAGCAGGGGGTGAAGAGAGGCGGCAACGGCGACGTACGATACGGCATACAACAGGAGAGTCAAGAGGTGGCCCGAAGTAGGGGAAAGAGAAGTAGCACCGTAAACACGCACGAAAGCACAACTGTCCGAGGCGGAGTATACGGAGCGGGCCGCGTTTTCACCTTGGCCTGCCGAATGGAAAGATGCAGTGACCCAGTGTACTGCCACCTTGCTCCGATCTGTGTAAGAACTTTGTTGAAACGACGAGCGCCGAAGGAGGACGACGACCGCCTCCGTCTGTTCGTTCGTCCACCCGTCCGTTTGTCCGTCCGTTTGTTCAACAACGACGACGACGACGGGAATTTCCGCGCCGTTGCGTCGCCGGCCACCGACAGAGCGGCGGACGGTGACAGCGTGAATTGGTTATGTCGGCGGCGGCGGTTCGACGGCGTTCCAGCTTCTCGCGCGCGCTCCGGACGGCGTTCACGCGTCCATCTCTCTGTCGCGCGCGCGCGCACGACGTTCCGCGGGTCCAGGTAGAATCGCGCCGTCGACACCGCCGCGCGCTTTCCCGTCAGTCTGTTGTCAAAATCAGCTGCCATTGCTGCGCTCTTCCCTTTATTTTCGTACGCCATTCCGGCGTCCCGAGCCCTCGTCGCGTCGTTGTACGTCGTTCGCTCGCGATTCTCTCGGCCGAGTACGCCGCGTCGCGCGATCGTCGCCTCATGAACCTGCGTCCCGACCGGGAGATCGCAGGTGATTCTGTCAAGAATTGGCTCGCGAGCACCGAGCGCGAGCGCTATTTGTTGTCAAGCCGCTCTATTGTCCGCGGTGCAACGTTCGCTACGGATATAGTTTTTTTTTTCTTCCGCTCGCTTTTGGGAGAGAAGAAAGAAAGAGTAACGGACCGCGCGCGAAGTGAACGCCGAGTACATTTTGTGCCGCTGCGTTCAGTTCGGTCGTAGAGTCCCGACAAAGAGAATCGTCGAGAGAATGAGAAACATTGATCAAATGGACGTTAATACTAGTAGCTGAGAGCGCGTTTAATCGGGCCGACTTATAATTACATGATTTTGAGAGTACTTTAATTCACGGTCTTGCAAGCATGTTACAGACTGAGAAGGCAGAGACTCCAATTTATGTCTACAAAGTTGAAAGGAGAAAGTCCCAAAGTAGTCTACGCTGTGTGAGAGTCTGTGTAAGGGAGGAGTGCATGTATTTATCTAAAGACAATACAGGAAGCAAGGGTCAAAGATAAGAACGAAAGTAGTAAATGCATTGGTCGAAGAAGCGATGGACCCATCGTTGTTTGTTGCGTACACTCCTCAAACAAACGGAGTTCCATCGGAGTCCAAGCTTGCTACCTACATGGTAGCTTATTACTTTTGCATTAGTGTGCAATAACAGAAAGGTACTTTTAGGCAATCCTGGCATGTCTCTCCTCCTTTGTTGCAGAGTCGCCAGAGTCCTGGTACAGGATTGAGCACAACCTCGGTAACCAAGCACTTGTGCAATCTGTCGTTGGACTCACAAAAGAAGGTAACTGCCAGTCCCGAATTTGTGCCAGGAAGAGGCCTTACAGGTAGCAATAGCAGCTCGCCGAATCTCTTTAACAATTCCTACACGCACTCTCAGGAGAATGTAGGTGGCACTATGTACTTTTATGTTGGAAATGCCACTACTGACACTGTCGCAGGCGACGATGGAACCGAGGCGGTAAGCCTCTCAACGCAAGCTTATGCACAAGCTGTATGTATATACCAGCTTGTACACAAGCTGTACATATGTACTATCTAAACATATAACGTATTATGAGGTACAAAGTCAATCTAACATCGATATGTTCGGAGAATGAAAGTTATATGTTTGTATATATATATATTTTTTTTAATATATATATATTTTTTTTAATCTCTCTCTCTCTCTCTCTACGCGAGAAACTTTGTAACGTAATCCTTATTCGTTCTTATTTTATTTCATTAGATTGGACAGGTAGGGACAGGGCAGATCGGTTATGTCTATCCAGGTACACCCTCGCACCTACAACCGGTGAAAGCTCCCAAGCCGCCCTCGTCAAACAATTCCTCCGCTCCCTCCACACCACCCCCTCAGGCTGCCCCTAGCTTCTTTGTGAGCGAAAGTCTGCGACTGGACATCTTGCAAAAGAACGCATTGACATTAGCACAGCCTGACATAGTACGATTTCCCGACTTACCTAACGAGGTTGACAATTATCACGAGCTGTGTCCCCTGGAGCCAATTCATAAACCCGCCTCGACAGTGCTCGGATATCAAACCTCCACGTACAAGGCCACCAGTATCAAGAACGGTACTCGATACTGTCTGCGTCGTATACACGGTGAGTTTCTCTATCTCGTTTCTTTCTTCCACAGAATCCCGATTACATATCATACGTTGTGCCACATGCTGACTGGAACAATCGTCGGTTTGTTTTTAGATTTTCGACTTGCCAACACGAAATGTATGGTAATAGTTGACATGTGGAAGCGACTGTCACACGCAAATCTGGTTCAGCTGAGGGAAGTCTTCACTACTAAAGCGTTCGGTGATCATTGTCTGTATTCATCGGCCACATCAACGTTATATCGTCTCGCGTATCGTGTCGCCTCGCGTGTCAATCTCACGTCGATCTCCTCTCTTTCTTCCAGCCATGGTTTTCGTATACGACTATCATCCCGCATCGGAAACGTTGCTGAACAAGCATTTTGCGTCGACCGAATTGAACGGTTACACCGATCCATTCTCGTCGGATCCAAACGGCCATCGACCTTATAGTCACACAAAGAACACTATTCTAAGGCAACAGCACAGTAGCATGTTACCGGAAAGTGTTATTTGGAGCTATATCATTCAACTCACTGCCGCATTTCGTGTTGTCCACGCCGCTGGTTAGTATCGCATCCTCGTTCATGTGTTTTCTCCAGGGACAGACACAATGAGTGTCTTTTATCGCGCCAACTGGAGCAATCGCATGTTGAATCGTCGTCTCGCTAGATTCACCCGGCTCGTTTAATTTTAACCCAGCCAGCCTGATAGGTAATTCATTTTTATAGGCTTGGCGTACAGATGCTTAGACCCCACCAAAGTATTACTTACATCACAGACGCGGCTCCGTCTGAGTTGCGCCTCCATTCCGGATGTGGTCACTCACGACGGAAACGCCGCGAACCCGCTCGCGCTCGTCCCGCATTATCAGCAGGAGGATTTGGTAGCGCTCGGCAAGTTGGTTCTAGCGTTAGCGTGTCGGAGTCTCATCGCCGTCCATCGCGACAATATGTCAGCCTCCATTGAGCTCATCACACGTTCCTACTCAACTGACCTTCGAAACCTCATCCTGTAGGTGGAAATTTGTGATTCCTTCGCATTGACAGACGCGGTAAAGCGGTGTCTACAATGAGAATTTGAAACGTAAGATTTCAGTTCTAAGCCTTAAGCTGTAAAAAAATTGATCAATCACAGTCGAATATGAGAAAAATAATCGATTGTAATTGATCAGTTTCTCACGGTTTAAAGCTCAAAGCTTAGGTCTCACCTCTTGTCCACAATCTTGCTTTAAGACGCAAGCAGTAAACAAATTGACCAACCACGTTCGATTATTTTTAGCCTAATAAAAGTAAGATTGATAAGGCAAGCCAAATTTTCATTGGTACATCGTTTAACTCGAAAATACGATACCTTTCGTGGATCCACATTTGTCGATTTGGATTTATCGCGTTTGACCTGACGGAGAATATTCGATTTTTTTCAGATATTTGCTGTCGAATCAACCTCGTAAGAGCGTTACAGATCTCATGCCGATGATTGGTGCACGATTTTATACGCAACTAGACGCTGCCCAGTTACAATCCGACGTTCTGGAGAACGAACTTGCCAAGGAACTGGAGAACGGGAGACTGTTTAGACTGTTGGTCAAGTTGGCGACCATTAACGAAAGGCCGGAGCTCAACATGGACCCCTCGTGGGCAGAAACGGGCGACCGCTACATGCTCAAATTATTTAGGGACTATGTGTTTCACCAAGTGACAGCTGATGGTAGACCCTGGCTAGATATGGCGCACGTTGTAGCTTGTTTAAATAAGCTCGACTCGGGCTCGATGGACAAGGTAAACGTCAAAAGAAGAGACGGATAAAGTTTTATATAATATATATATATATATATATATATATAAATTCGTCGACATATATGGTATGTGTATCATATTAACATGTTGCAAAAAAATGATTTCAGATATGTCTCATGTCTCGAGATGAACAGAGTGTTCTAGTTGTAACTTACGCGGAACTACGGGGATTTCTGGAAACGTCATTTGGAGAACTGGTACAAGCTGCAAGGGACGCTGTCTAAGGCCCAGAGAGCTTTCTGGAAACGTTCCTCTGGACGAGGTCCGACAGCGCGTACTCCGAACCATAAATGTGATATCACCATTTAGCGGTACTATCATTTTAATTTTTATTGAGATACTGGAGAGTGAGATTTGTCGAATTGTGTTTGATGGTAAGAAATAATAACGCGCAACTCGGTTTTTTGTATACATGATTTTGATCGTCGAATCAATTAGGTACGCGAAGCGCATGGTACATGCGTTGCATTTAGAATGTAAGGCGTTAAAACCTTCGGGTGTTTAAGTCTAGAGGATCTATAGATCCTCAAGTCTCTTTGGGTTATTGGATTTTCCAGTTCGGATCTTAGGATCTTTAGACCTTGGAGACCTCCGTGCGTTGTCAGTCGGGGTCGATTGATCTCTGGATTTTAGAATCCTCGCATCATTGGACTTTGGGGCCCTTCGAATCGTCGGATTCTCGTGGTCCGACGACTCGAAATCTTCAAATTCTTCTACCTATTGATCCTTAGATCTTTGGAGTTCTGATCTCTTGGAAGCTTGAAGTGCGCGAAGGAAATCATGTGATTTTGATGGCGATTGGGCTCGTGTAAGCCCATTACGGTACTATACAAAATTGTACACAACTTAATAATGCAATGATTTCTTAAGAAATCTTAAGAAGAAAAAAAAACACCTAAACACGCTCGGTGTCTAGGATAGAGACCTTAGTTTCTAGGATACAGTTGGTAAGCATTAATTTTGAAATAAATGTTTATTTTTGAAAGCAATACTAATTAACGTTGTGATTATTTGTTTCCTGCCGACGACGACATTGTTAGATTCCCGTATCCTCTTTCGAGCGCGACGTTTTTCCTCATAAAAATATTATTCACCACGTACAATCTCACACCTATCATCCAATCTATCATCAGTCGCGGGCCCCTCTTATCAGCCGCCTGCGTTCTCGGAATCTCACTTATCGATATCACTTTCTGCGACGTATAAAACCGCTTCGGGGGGCGATTAGATCCCGACTCGATTTTGGAACGTCCTGTACGATGCTCTCTCTCTCTCTCTCTCTCTCTCTCTCTCTCTCTCTCTCTCTCTCTCTCTCTCTTTCTCTCTCCCCCTCGGCATGTTCTATCTCTATTTAACCAATCATCTTTCTCTTCCTCTAGGAGGGATGATCACCATGACGACGGCGAAGAGAGTGGCGGTCCACGGCGACGGAAGGGGAAGATCGACGACGGAGCGGGGAGGATATGCGTGGTGCCCGAGGGATGCCGGACTCGCGACCGACCGACCGCCCGATGGAGGGAAGCAGGGGGCGGGAGGGGGATGACTCTGTTCGCGGCAGTGCCAGTGGCAGCAGCAACACGTAGTAGTAGTCGACGGCATCGCAACGTCGAGGCACGGGAGTAGCGAGAGGTATCCGCTGTTTCGTCGCGCTGATCATCACTCGCAGTGCACGCAGCCGCATCACGGACTGAGAGAGCGAGCGGATCGTCCGTTGTTCGCCGAGAGCGTCCTCGAGAACGTACCCTCCTTCCTAGCGTCGTCTTCGTAGTCACACACGGACCCGACCAGGAAGCGCGTTTAGAAGAGAGCCGATCGTGCGTGCGTTCGTCGTCGTCGTCATCCCTGTAGCAGCAGGTGAGTCTCGCGCGAGAAAGAGAGATAGAGAGATAGAGAGAGAGAGAGAGAGAGAGAGAGAGAGAGAGAGAGAGATNCAGACCCGCCCCTGAATCTCACGGCTCTCCGAGACGCGGAGAGAATCGCCGTGGATTTTTTGCGCTGCTCTCCGCGAGCCGTTCCGGCGGTTATCCAGTGGTGCGCGCGCGTGCGACCAACCGATAGCCCCGGGTAGCCGAGGAAGAGGACCGAGGAGGCACCGTAACGTCTAGCTTTTCCAGCGTGCGCGCGTGCCTCTCTTGTCGACGGGGACGATCGATGGCTCCTTTCGTTCCACTGGCGCCCCGCGCGCGCTCTCTTAGCCGAGCTTTTTATCCTCCTCAGCGATCCTCGATATTCGGCCCTTCGACGCCGCCGACGCGCGACTCCGACCGTCCTCGGGTCGCTTCTTCGGCGCTCGTCGCTGCTCGAGCGAGCGGAGAGGAGGAACGATGAGCGACCGATGTAACAACATGGGGAATTTATTTCAGGGACCAGATAAAATCGAAGATAAGGCGTTAAAAAACGCTATCTCGATGAGCCGATAGCTTTCGCGGTTGGAAGGCAATTGGGAGAGAGAGAGAGAGAGAGAGAGGGAGAGATTGCGGGAGCCGTTCCGTGGAAAAACGGTTATCGACGATGCGATATCGGGTGGGAAATTCTCTTATTACGCTCTTGAAAATCCGCAGGTTGGCGGGCGATCATCTCCCGCTCTCGTCGCGTCCCGTTTGCGCGTTCCCATCTCGTTCTCCGGCGTTTTGTTTCTCTTTTTTTCCAACGTCAGATCTCCGGCCATAATACGGGCCGAGCCGAGAGAGCCGCGCGCGTACCAACACACACGAGGGCGGCGAGATTCCGGTCAACAATTCCGAGACGACGCGCAGGCCGACGAGAACGAAACAATAAACGGCTAATTCGTCCTCGTTACTTTCTACCACCGCGTGGGTCTGGTTAAAGCGACAGGAGGTTTTTTAAGGACCGCAAACGGCGGCGGCGGCAGACACGCCGTAACCTTTTAACCCCTCATTTTCGAGCTATTTATAAGCGCATTGCGTTTGCGCCGGAGCGCAATTGCGCCGAGAGGCCGAAAGCTAGTAGCTAGCCTAGCTACCAGTTAGCTCGTTTCTAGGCGACGCGTCTAGTTTCTTATGCCTCCCAGGACTCAGCTTCCCCGTACGCTTCCACTTCGCGTCCCGAGATCTCGTTAATTATCGCTCCGCTCCGGTCTCGTACAAATGTACGAGGGTGAGTGGGGGAGAAAGGAAAAGAAAGAAACAGGAAAAAAGGATGAGGAGGAGGATATTAGATCAGGTTCTGCAGGATGAACGAGCGTAAAACGAGAGAGACACGGTCGGTGAATGGCAAATTACTTTTGTATTACTCCACGACCGACCTGTAGAGTCGTCGATGAGAGAGAGAGAGAGAGAGAGAGAGAGAGAGAGAGAGAGAGAGAGAGAGAGCGTCGAGGAAGACTGAGGAAAGGTCGAAGGGCGGTTTATTTATGTGACTTGATATTTCCGTTCCATCGTCTGGCGCTGATTTAAAAAATCAACCGGTCTTCTATTCATTATGAAACGATAAAATCGGCGGCGGCTGATACGCGCCGATGGTGTTACGCGTGTAACATGCGGCAGTACGTAAAAGTTGACGGAATCAAAATAGTATTTTCCCTTCCTCCCTCTCCCGCCTCCTCCGCCGCCTCGTGCGAGTTTAAAACAATCAAAGTTCTAAGTTCAGTTAAGTTTCCGAGTTCCTCGCGAGGGAAAAGATTCTGGTAGGAGAACAACAGTGTTTTCTCCCTCCCCTCTTTCTGTCTCTTTCTCTTGATGCGGCAAAGTTCCGAGCACGTTCGAAAAGAGTCCGAAAGAATTCGCGTTTTGTCCCGGAGAATCACGTGTGGCTTTGGGGGAATAAAAATCTTCTGTCTTATGTGGGCGGGAGGATTCAAGCGACATCGACGGGACACCGATCTCGAGATTCCCCGCGTCCCAGGTGGAACAGAAAATGACGATGACGTCGAAAAGTAAGTTTTTATAATCATTTTCTCGTTATTTCGACGTCATCGTCACATTTCTATTCCATCTGGGGCATCGGTCGGTCGCAGCAGCGCGGAAAGGTGCGCGCTCCTTAATAAATGACGGTAACAAAGAGCGACGTGAATCACGCTTCTAGGACGTTTGTTTCGTTTTAATTCATGCCGTCAGCCTTTTAGCCCGATATCGCGCGCGAGAGATCGCATACACGGCAACGTCGTGCTTTATCTACACGGTGCTTATTTTTCTCTATTGATAAATTACGCTGAACGCGCTTACGTTCTTACGCGCTCTCCCGAGAATAGTTTTATATTTTTAACATGCGCGATATTTCGCCAACAATACCGAGAGTCTCTCTCTCTCTCTCTCTCGGTGTGCCCGACAGTTTTTCTTTATTACCCGTATCTCCCTTACGTGGTACAAAAAAAATTGACCAAATAAATCTTGTTTACCAATACGGACGTGCCGAAGATAGGAGCGATAAGCGAGTCGTGTTTATCTCAAGCTCTTTAATTTTCAACGTCGGGAACATATCAACGTCCCCATTTCAGCCGCCGGTCGGACAAGTGGAAAAAGAAGAGAGATCGTTGAAATAAAAATTTCATTTTTCAGGGGGAAGAGAACGTGTGTGAGAGAGAGAGAGAGAGAGAGAGAGAGAGAGAGAGAGGGAGGGAGAGAGAGAGGCTGGAAGTGTCGCCTGAAAGCGTGAAAACCAACTTCGGAAACGTCCGCGTGAAAAGCAAAAAGCGAGGCAAGGCTCGCGGCAAGTCGAGCGAGCGCGCGCGCGCGCGCGAGGACTTTCGTGAGACCAGCGTATATCTGGACATCGGGCAACGTCCCCTTGCTCGGATATGTCGACCGCGTGTCCCCGCCGGTCTATATTCGACGACATATTATCTGCTTTGCTGCCTGATATCTCCGTCCTTCTTCTTCTCTCTCTCTCTCTCTCTCTCTCTCTCTCTCCCTTTCGCTCTCTCCAGTTCCCTTCTCTCCTCTTCTTCTCGCTCCGTTCGCGCGCCTTCTCACCTTCCCTCGCCGTTCCCGCCCGCCCGTTCCTCCTCTGCGTCGCGACGTCGCAGCGACAATAAGATCGACGGCGAACTTCGACGAGGCAACGTCCGCTCGCCGTCTCATCCGCGTCCGGCGTATCCGACGCGACGATAATTTCGTCAATTCCCGTCAATCCCGGCTGGCCGCGGACGATTTTCCCCGCGATCGTTTGAACACGAGCCGAGGGAAAGGGTAGGGGGATCTCTGCCTCTTTCGCTCTCTCTTTCTCTCTTGGTGAGGGGAGGAGAGCCGATATTGCCCCGTCGTGGTCTAGGAAGATTGGACGAGTGCTGATTGTTTCAATGCCGACTAATGGAGAGAATGACCGTAAGGACACGCTCTGCGCGCGTTGCGTGCGACGTAACCAGCCGTTCGCGAAACCGCCAGCACGTCTCTCTCTCTCTCTCTCGGCACTCCCGGGCCTCTTCTTCTGGAGTAGCGAAAGAAAGCGACCGTTCGCTCTTCTCTCCACCGACAGGTCCGAGACGAGATGTTCCCCGGATGGTGATCTCTCTCTGTACTCGCGCCCCGCGTCGTCCGCGAATCCTCTCGGACTTGAACTTTAATCTCTCCTCGTATCTCCGGGATCTCGCGTCTCGGCTCTCCTCTGATCCTCCGGGCTCCCCCAGTGCCGGGATCTTCGGGGCTTTCAAGTTCCCGGGGTCCCCCCTCTAACCCCTTGTTCAAGTCTCTGTGCCTTTGAATTTTGAATACGCAGCTCGCGGAGGCTTAGCGAGCTCGGCTGAGATTATGCGGCTGTTTATTCGCGTGCTTGACGACGGAGAATAATCCGTCACGATGAAAGTGTCTCGGTCGCCGAATTGCCCCCCACCTCCCGCTCATCACCTTCAATCCCCGATCGCTCGGTGACACGGCCGACTTATCGCCGGTAATTAGCACCGCGGCCTTGGTGCAGGCTGCGATTTCCGCGCATCTCGTTCGCGCGCAAAGCGATGAGCATCGATGTAAGAAAAGACCTTGAGCCGATCGCTTATGCGTGCTTATATCGCGCCGCACACCCTCCGATAAATCAATCCTCAGCTTCCGCACGCTGGACCGTAGCAGCGTCGGCCGGTGCAAATAGCCGTCTTTCAGCGGATTTGCGCGACAGCGGAATGGGTCCTTTTAATTGAGAGACTCATTCTCTCTCTTTGTCTCTGTCCATCTTCATTTCACCGATCGCGTCCGAAGAATGCAACGTCCAATTCGGACTTGTCGGTCGGACAACTTCGTTGTCAGCTGCAGCGCGTCGGAGTTCTCGTTATCGGAGCCGAGGCGAGGAGGCCACGCAACTATCACGGAAACGCAGGAGAGATTATTAGGACGAGGTCGATGGCTCGGACGAGTACTCGGGGACAAGCGGGGATCGCAAAAGTGCGGCGACGGCGATGGTGTAAAATTTCAGAATGTCGCCGCTCGCTCGTCGAGCTCCTTGTCCTCCTCCGGGCTCAGTTTCTCCGGTGACTTTGTTCGCAGCTCGGCTCGGCGACGAGCTCGGCAAAGCGGGAGCGATCGCACGGCTGCAGTTAATTATCCTTTGCGGTTCTCGTTAAGAACCACTTGTCACCGACTCGTGCGAGCGCTCGTCAACTCGGAGCTCGAGATAATCGCAATGAATCTTAACGAGAGCGGAGCGCATCGCCCCGAAAAGTTTAATAACCGCGCGTTAACGAACGCCAGCTGGGATTCCGCGAAATTCAACGTCGACGTCGCGACGCTCGGCCTTTGTGCCCTCATTCCTTTGCCTCCCCTCCCCTCTCTCTCGTCGGTTTGTCGGTTCTTCGCGCCGTGTGAATCGTGAATTATCGGCGATGACGGACCGTTTTAATAAAGATTGACGGACCGTTTTAATTAACGTTGACGCCGCTCTGCCGTTGTCGTCGTCATCCTCACCATCGTCCTCGTGTGAGGTACCGTGCGTGAAAAGACCTCGCGAAAATCGAAGCTCGAGCTCGGCGTTTCTGGGAAAAAGAAGGAAACGAGACGAAAAGGAAAAGAAAAATAAGCGGGCGCCACTGCGCGAAACTTATCGCGCTCGACGACTCAGTGTGCTCGTTGATTCTCTCTCTCTCTCTCTTTCTCTATTCGGTATAATACTCGATTCATCGATCGCTCTCGAACGGAATTTGCTGTCGCCGTTATCGCCGAATTAACGTATTAATTAGCGATCTGAGGAACTCGCGCTAATTAAAGCGCGCCGCAAAGGGGAAATTTTTGGTGATTGTCGTGAGATTATCGCGAGCCTTCTGCGACGAATTTTCTCGCATCGGTGGCTACACGTCCTCCTGCGCTTGTTGTCATCGTCGTCATTGCGACAACAGCAGCGCGTTTCGGCGATAAGATAAGGAAGCACCTCTATTCAGGAAAGCAGATAATACTACGAATCGTCCGGACGAATCAGCTCTCACAGCTGAATCATAAGTTCATTATGCTCCCCTTGTACGTTTTGATTGCGTATCATATGATATGTTCGTATTTATATATATATGTATGTATATATATATATGTATCAATCTGTCGAGCCTATCAGCGGCCGTTGAAAGATATTTTCCGACTAGTGCGCGTGTAACAATCCGTCGGCTCGTATCGCGCTCCGTGTAATAAACGAAACGATTCTAATTAAGGGTGAAGCTTTAACGAGGCGTCCTCGTTCTTTTTTTTTCTACCGGCAGAATGAAGCTGTGCTGGAGCTTGCTTTTCGCGGCCATCGCCCTGTCGATGATCCTTACGACCGCACGAGCGGAAAGTGATGGACTGTGGGAAGAGGACGACAAGGAGGTCCTTGTGCGGTCGGTGCGCGGCACTAACGAGCGAAGTGAGTTCCCCCTTTTTGCAATTAATCCGTTACTTTTTTGCGACCGCGATGTTACTCGGAGCCAAGCGCGCGCGTCTGTGAACTGACTGGTTGGTTGGCTGGCTGTTGGCTGTTTGCACGCGTGCGTGCGTGCATGTGTGTGTGTGTGTATGTATGTATGTATGTATGTGTGTGAACACGGCATGCCCGTGGACGGTGTAATTAAGTCGCTGCTTGTCTCGAAAAGTTTCTCTCTATTCACTTGATCGACGTTACGTCCAATTGTTTCTATTGACGTTTCGCATCTCGCTGACGCAGCATCCGGCGGCTCCTCGTCGTGCAGATACGTGAAGGGTCAATGGTCGGAATGCGACCCGAACACCAACACGCGGTCGCGCACCCTGAGCCTCAAGAAGGGCGACAAGTCCTGCGAGCAGACCAAGATTATCCAGAAGAAGTGCAAGAAAGGTGAGTGACGCGCTCGTGATTAACACCGGCCGCCGGCGCCGTCGTCGTCATCATCGTTGTGGTACTATCGATGCGACGACAACGGTGCTGCGAGGAAGACGGCGCGTCCCTATTTCACCCTTCTTTCTAACCGACTGTTGACCGCAGCGTGTCGATACGAGAAAGGAACGTGGAGCGGATGCGTGAATCAGATGATGACGAGAATCGATAATTTGAAAGCGAACAGCGACGCAACCTGCGAGAAGACGCGACGGCTCACCAAGAGGTGTAAACAGGAGACCAACACCAAAAAGTCCGCCAAAGGTAACTGCCATTTATTCCACTTGTATCGATCAATTATCGCGCGTGAACCGGTCGCGTGCGCGCGAGAAAGAGAGAGAGAGAAAGAAAAAAATAGAATGACGATTGCATCCGCAATCCTTCGCTTCTCTTTGCAGGCGAGAGGTCGAACAAGAAGTCGGGCAAGCAGTAATCATCCGCCAATCTCCAATCGTCTCCTCTAATCGGGCAACGAAAGCGCACTCTCGTCTCCTCGACCCTTATCTTCTCGATCCTTTATCCAGTCGCCAATTGATTGCGAGGCAGGGCGCACGAATTTGGATGGCGGCGGAACCACCACTGTCGAAGCAGCCGTTTACGCACACGAACACGTACACGCGCACACAGAATACACATACAACGCATACACACAACACACATACTGCCTGGGAATCATGCATTTCGGCACGCAGCGACCGCACGGACCGTTGCTGCCCGACCGTGTTTTCAGGGTGCGCTGCCGTCGGTTAATTATAACGAGTTAATTACTGTTAATGATTCGGGATGGTGTGCGCGTCTCGGTGATCATCGCTTCCGCTTCTTGGCGGAGGTTACTAACCCTACCAGGATCGCGCTGACGTACCGTTACCGCGCGTCGTAGTCGCGTACCGTAGATCCGAAAGAGGAAACAAGAGAAAATCCCAGCTCCAAGAGAGCCTCTTTCCTTCGTCTTAGTCTCGCTCGTCGCAGGAGCTTGTTCTTCTCTATCTAACCCGTTGACATAATTCGCGACAACTTCCCTTGTTGAGAGAAAGAGAGAGAGAGAGAGAGTAGGAGAGAAAGAGAGCGAAGTTATTGATCGCGCGGTGGTTTTCTAAAAATGGCACGTCGGCAAGATCTCGGGAGGGTTAAGCCGTGCAATCAGCCGGAGAATCGATTGGGAACCGATATGTAACACGTTCATCGTGATGACGAAAAGTTAGACGTGTCGTCAGCGTCAGGGTGTGTTGGTCGAACGCACAGTGGTGTAGCTTGCGCGATCGAGAATATTTCAACGCGAATCCTTCACGATGGAGAAGGGAGAAAGAGAAAGAAAGAGGAAGGCCTTCTTTCTGTCTCTCTCTCTCTCTCTCTCTTTAATGACGACGCGAAATCTTCCCGAATAAATTCGGAAGTCCAAAGAGATAACGAGGACTCGAACGTCGACGTCCCGCGTCCCTCTGTCCCCATAGCATATTGTTGCAAAAGTCTGCACCACTGGCTGATCGATTGACGATGTAGAGCGCGCGTGTAGAGAACTCCCCCGAACTCTAGAAAACAGCCGACAATTTCGGAGGTTCGCAGAGGAAGGTAAGAAGATCGTCTGCCAAAGCTGTTCTCTCGTCTTCCCGCAGCGAATATATATTACTATTTTATTTTATTATTATAACATTATTAATATATTATTGTATTATTCTTGTTCATTATATATCAAGAAACACAGCGGTGAGACTCCCCTTAGCTGCTGAGATCCTCTTGAAAAGGGAAAAAAAAGGAATCATGTACAATGTTTGTCATACATAAACGGCTTTCATTCGATTGTGACATAAATATACAGTGTTCGGTGTTCAAAGTAACTGTGTCCTCATGTAACGTGCGCGAGATATTCCGACAATTATTACGCCGTCGCGAAGGTTCGACAATTCAGATTGATAACGAGGATTTGAGGATGCGCGTGAAAGCGTTGAAGAACCGGCATTCCGGCAACGGGATATCCGAACGGTCAATCAAAGATTTCGATGATCAAAAAAACGTACGGATCAAAAAGGCAAGAGAGAACGAAGTAAGATCAAAAGAGCCGCATCAAAAGGTGAACGTTTGCCGAGGTAATGAGGATCAGGATGAGGAAATAAGAAAGAAAGAGAGAAAGAAAGAAGGGATTAGGAAGAAGGACGAGAAAAAACGATGAAAATAGCAGAATGTTCGCGCGCGTGCCTAATAAATTCTCCCGGAATCCTCCGCGCCCCTCTCGACAGGACGTCGTCACGTTCCGGTGTTAATATTCGCAGTTAACGTTTATAATAATGTACCAAGTGATAACCGGCAATACGGAAACTCGCAAGCCAATGAGCATGAAAATCAAACTAAAATAAACTCACCGTCTCGTCGTCTCGTCGAGCGATTCGCACTCGCTCGCCTGTGTGCGAGAGACGGAGAAAGAGAGAGAAAAAGAGAGCAAGAGAATGAGAGAGAGAGAGAGAGAGAGAGAGAGAGAAAGAAAGAGAGAAAAAGAGAGATCACTGGATATCCTTTCGATGCCACCAAAAAAAAAATCAAATCCTTCTTCCCCGCATACGAGATTGTATTTGTTTTTAAGTCCTTAGGTATATACACAGACGGACTTCGGATGGCGGAAAAAAGTTCAGCTGTTCGCGCGCTCGGCATTGGTGCGTGCGGGTGAGCGAACGATGTATCGCGAAAAGTGCGTCGGGCTGCGTGCAGCAATGCGAGCAAAGATAAATAGATAGGTACACGGAAAAAAAATAAGTCTCAAAAATCAATGTGGATATTCTCATATATAAGCAAGAATATTACAATCTCCTTAGAAAATGTTTGGTCTTGATTGAATTTGTATTGATGCAAGTATTACTTGCGCTCAATTCAAGACTAAAAGTCTCCTAAGAATATTGTATTACAATATATAATATTATATTCTGATAATACAATATTATATAATGTTATAATATATTATTATAATATTCTTGCTTATATATGAGAATATTTATCATCGATTTACATATAGGACTATTTTTTCTGTGTAGACAGAAAGAGAAGGAGCGAGTATTCCATCTCACGGTGCGTAGCGGTGCGTATTACGCGAATATTTCCCAAGATATTACGCGCGTAGGAACGCGGATCCTCGCCTCGAGTCCCTGAGCGACGGAGCGTTCGCTTCCGCGCGAACTCCCTCGGCGGAGCTGGCGGATCCCGCGAGATTCCCGGGGAGTTTCGCGCGGCCTTCCGTCACGCCCGGGACTCGGAGGATCTCTCCCTCGAGGAATTGGTCTCCGGGACCGATGTGATAAGAGGATGTGCGCTCGCGTAATCGCACGCAGTGATGCGCGCTCGTGTGCGCGTGCCGAGCGCCTAGCTCTAGCTCTTCAGCATCAACAGCATATCATCATAACGCGAAAAGCGACACGGAATCCCTATCGATAAACTAAGATAGCGTTATCTCTGTTCTATGGACTCTTCTCATTGCTGTCCCTTATTAATCCTTCAACCGGTACGAATCTCACTCGTCGTCCCCGTCGTCCAGCCCGGAGGGTGGCTCGCGCGAAGACGACAGCTCGCGCGATGCCGTCGAGGAGAAACGCGGCCGGCCAGCCGTCGTCGTCGCCGTGGAACTCGCGTGGATGTGCCGGTTGAAAGCATTAAGTGTCTAATGAACGTTAACATCTATTGTACAATGAATGTTAATTACACGCGCGACAGAGTGCAGTCTCGTTCCCGCGGGGTATTTTTCTCCCTTCCCTCGCGGAAGCGCTCGACTCATCGTCGTCGTCGTGTTCGACACGGATGCACGTGACGCTCGTTCTTCCGGTTCTCCGGGGTTCTTCACCCCCGTCGACGCGATTCCCGACGACGAGATAGCGCGTTATCTTTCTCTCGAAGCGATCTCCGATCGCGCGTCGCAATTACCGCTCAGTGTGGAACAGGTGTAACGGCTGTCGTGCTTGACTTCTCTGTGTGGAGCTCGCATGGAGGCTCTCCGTGTTTTAATCGCATTGTAACATAGCATGATAGAAGATACATCAGTATAAACCTAGAGACTAATTTTTCAGATCTTTCGATAATTAATAACTGAGGACCCGCCGGGGAGGGTGCGCGCGAGCGCACCCCTGCTTGGCGGCGGTGCCTCGATCTCGGAGGAGCCGCGGAGCGACGCGATCGACGCCGCGAATTGTATCTTAAATCGTCACGTATTATTATTACTTATTTGTCCCCTACTCCCTCCCTTTCCCATTCCACATTTTTCGATGAGAGAAACGAATATCGATCGCTATTACAACGGGAGAAAGAGCCCTGCGATTCCTGTTTCGAGTAGGGTAAAAGTATCAATGCCTGGACGAATGTATCTAGTTCTGAACGTTCTTTTCGTTCTTTCTTTAAATGCGAAAATCTGAATTTTCAACATAGAACGTATAAATTCGATATATGTATATTATTCTATGCTGAAAATTGAAATATTCGCACTTAATCCGAGAGTAGTCGCCTGGGATCATTTAGACCCCGATTAAAAGTCGCTATTGTTAGCGAAATGTAGCATATCATCGATTGCTCTATGATTATTATTTAGGGGATTATAAATGTAGATTTACTCGCTGCTTTTTGAACAAAAAATGAGAAATGAAAAAAATATTTAAGAAACGAAATAGACACATCAAGTGTTCGTGATAACTTACGTAAAAAGAAAACAAGGTGACCGTTTCCGGGTTAAAGACTAAAGCAATAAGAATGACCCGAATTAGGTACGTGTACAGGCATTGGTACTTTCACCTTAAACGAGAAGTCTCGCGAGGAGAGGATCCCTCTCCGAGTTTCCTCCGGGATCGTCCTCCGCCGCCCGCGCGCACACCTTTCGGGACAGCCCGAATAGATACTCTAGATATTGTAATAAGAGAATCGTTCGGAACTTTATTCGTTACAATTGAGACAATTAGAGCGCGCGCGGGAGAAATCGCTTCCCACGCGTGACATCACGGACTGTTGAGTTCTTTGCGATCGTCGATCTTGTTGACGCTTTTAAATCTCGTTAGTGCAACTCCTAGAGAAAATTATCGGTCTCCTCCCTCTTTTCGTCCATTTTTCGCCGGTGCGTCGCCCGATGGTCGTCGGGCCGCGTGGTTCCTTTGTTATACACGGTTATTTCGTTCACGTGAGGAACACGAACAAACTCGATTGTACATTCTTCGGAGAGGCATCGATTTGTTGCGACGGACTGACCGTGAATTGCCGGTCGGTGACGAATCGGACGAACGGGGAGCCGATCGTCGGTGTCCGTTCGAGTCGTCGCCGCCGCGCGGTCTGGTCTCTCTTTTAATAAAGCACATTCGGTCGCTCGGACCGCGTAGTTTAGGACAGTTCCTGGATTCGATGTATCGTAGCTCGATGAAGTCAGTGATTTTCTTTACGAACTACTATTAAAGAATTGTATAATGCATCTACTTACTTATTGAAGTAATTGTGTAACCACATTACACATGTAACAAAAATCCAATGTTGTCAATAAAAGTAAAATATTATATATATATATATATATATACATACACACATACGTAACATAAGTGTGATACTTCGTTTGGTAACTTTATTATTCGTTGTCTCGGAATCGGCAAATTTCACTAAAATTATTCGAAGACGGAAGATGATCCTTTCTATTTATCATAACACTTGATCTTTATTTGAAAAAAACGTATCGGTACAAAAGTTATAAAAGTGCTCTGTTTATCGCTCACGAATATATTTTCGAACAATATATATATATATATTAGACAATATAATATATAAAAACGAGATACATACAATGGACGGATATATAAAGAGATTTCTCTTCAAAAGTATCTCGCAAACGATTAGTTTTGATTTCGTTAACATTTTTCGAACAATTATTATTACACTGATTTCCGAAGAAATTGTGTTTATACGTATATATATACGTTTTTTTTGTGTTAACATAAAACATAATACAAATATATGAATGGACGGAATGTCAGATCTTATTTATCTTACATGACTAATACTGTGTCTATACAATGTATACGAAACATGAGTATATTCTTGCACGTGTGTGTGTGTGTGTGTCCCAGAGAAAGATTAAGGTTGTAAAAATTGTAAAAATTTTGGAAGATCTCTTGCGTGTGAGAGCTGCATCGGCAGTTTTTTTGCCGGTCGTGCGCTATTCTGTTTTCGATAAGACACGTTGTACGAACTAGGTGCATCTTCTTCTCGGGATAGTTCGTGGCCGGTCCATGGCTCTCACTCCACGGAGACGGACAGCTTCCGGGTGTAGGCTTTGCCCTCCCATTCTTGGTCGGATCGTAGGGGCTCGTGTCGCAACTTGCAAACGCGCCCGCCGTACTTCAGCATCAGAATTATTACGCAAACCACGAACAGCGTCAGGCAAGCAGTCGCCGGCCAGAAAACGTGTAAGCCCATTGTAACGAGATTATTAGTTTCCTCCTCTACAAAATCACTTTATCCGACTGTACGTGCGACTATCGAAATGATCTGCTGAGTGACTACACTCTTGCTACAGCGACTCGAAAGGGAGACGTTAATGTCTCTTGACAAAATTATCTCGTGAAAGGATAAAATTATCCTTAATATTAACAGAGCCACTAAAACGATAACTCAGTAATGAGGAACTCAGTGGCTTTATGCCAGAGTCTTGACGCGTTCAGCTGAGTGTAAAAGGTTAATTAGGCTCTATTGTACTCAATTAAATTCGCCGTTTGGGACGGACTATTGAAGCACGGGTGTCACTCGAGCGTTTCTTGATACCACAACTGGTCGTCGGCTGTCTCTCAAATGTCACTCTCGCGTTTGTGCATCTCCATGTATTCTTGCGGATGCGGCGAGATGCCGTGGAACTCCGGGTCTTCTTGTTGGACGATCTCGTGCCTCACTTGAGGATATTTGATGATTCGGGACTCCAGTTCGCTCAGATCAAGAGGAGGTGTTTTGTGTGGTAACACAGTCCACATGGGCTGAATCCACCTATTGCCTAAGTCGCGATAAGATCATTAGTCTTTATTAGAGAACAAGATACGCTACACCAAAAATTTAATCGATTATCAACTCAATGGTACTGACCAATCACATTGGTCAATTAGTTCTAATCTGATCGATGCGATTGGTCAATTCTGTTAAGTTAATTGCCGATTAGATTTAAACCAAGGTAGTAAAAACAGACATTAGTATTATGCCTGTTAGTAGTATAATCTATTATTGATTTCACATATACTATAGATTTTTAGTATTGTCAGTACAATTCAGAACACACCGACCTTATAAAACAGAGCGTCTGTTCAACCATGAGGCATGAACCAAAATTCAAAAGCTATTGAAACACTAACCAGTATTGCGATCCTGCCAGTATTCCCGGTGCCGTGAGCACCAGCAGAACACGATGTTCAGGATGAACAAGACACCACCCAGGACGGCACAGAAGGCCACCGTGACATAGAACGGTGTGTAATCGCCGTACTCGTATCCCCTGAAGTACGGATTATTCGCGAATTGTCCGCGCTCGTCTAGAATGTCAGACATGTCACAACGTTAACACTCTCTCTCTCTCTTTCTCTCGCTTCTGAAAAGGAGAAATAAGGAAGTCCATTCAGTGCTACAATAAACGAGAACGTCATTCGGCATCATAACGAACGAACGAACGAATGAGCGCGCGCGCGCGCGCGGCTTCAGGCGTGGCGCATCGTCACACGGCATAATTCATAGGCCAACTGGCGGGTTTAAGCAACAATCGACGCGATCGTAATTATCATTATCGCGCGTTACACACGGATACACGCGTTCGTAATGCGTCCGGTACACGCAGGTGCGATTGAAATAGGTCACGAGACGCGCGCGCGACGCCCGGCCGAGTTGACGGAATTTACTCGCGCTTGCATAATATAATAGCTCAACGTACCTTCGCAGTGTTTGTCCCCTTCGTTGTGTGCGTATCGCGGCTCCTCGATTGTCAATCGCGATCGTGGAATTGCAGCGATGCGCTCTCACTGCCTCGTCGAAAACGCTGCGAGGGCCCAAGGAAGCGTAAGGTTCAACCACACATCCGCACTCGTGCCGTTGGAATGTTTGATCGACGTTAGATCACTCGTATTGGGCGGGGCGTGCCGTCAGGTGGGGGCAGAATGATTTCATAATTCGCGTACTACCGCAGCGACTCGGTCGACGCTCTTCGACTGAACTTTATGCACCGGCGCGCAGTTAAGGCCTATGCACAACGAGAACTAAAGGTAACAAATTTCCAACCGATAAGTTGGAAATCTATTGCCTGTATATAGCTGCTGCCCACAAGACGCAACAACATTTGTCGCGCGGCGGAAGTTCGCACCAATAAACTTCTAATTCTTGTCGAAAAACGGCACGTTGATTGGCTGCCGCGTCGCTTCTTGTCGCGTCCTGTGGACAAAAGCCATAACCAAACATAGCGCTCAGGAATTTTTTACAATACAGATTCCTACTGGCTAGCTTGTGAATATAGTGTATGTGTCGAGTACTGCTGTAGGCAATCTACTACAATCGTAGAATTGAAGTTGTAGTACGACTCAACAACGGGTCGGACATATCTTACTTTGCCAAGTAATACTACTCAACAACGGATCAGACGTCTTTTCAATGTAACCTGAAACGAGTAAAATTTAACGAGCTCTAACTTTGATAAAAATGACGTTATTCGGACGGTTTGAAAAGCACGTTGAAGTCTCCAGTTTTTTCAAGGTATTCATATTATATTTTTACCGTTATATTTCGTCATATGTTGAATTAATAAAAAAAAAAAATAGAAACCTTAAACTGCAAAATGCCTTTTAAACCATCTCGTTATTTTTGTAGAAGTCACTGCCAAGTGAATCTAGTATATTTCTCACGGTTGACATTAATGATCTGTGTGAATCTGTGTAACACACACATATACATAATATTAAAAATACTTATGAAAATAATCTTTTTATATTTTCAAGTAATGCAGCTGACCTAGAGAACTTTAAGATGACTGTCCCTCTACTGTTTTCGTGTAGCCACAATGCACATATTCTCTAACGAGACGTCGGTAGACGTGTAATAAAATAACTCAGCTTGAAATCCGACACTTTGCAGAAAGACCAAGCGACCCCAATTTAAGAGCGTCTTCGCTTTACGCCCGACGAGCTCGCGATCACTCAATTCTGGCGACTGTGCGATGTCGTCCTCTTCACAAGGATGTTGGCTGGTCGCTTCGTCGCGCTGCCTTTTAGCGTCGCTGTTCGAACGACAACCGCAAGTCGCCCAACTGACTATGCTGCATAGGATCGAGAACTCGTCTACAGTGAAGCCACATTGTTGCAGGTACTTTCGACCTACGTAAGACGAATATTCGCACCTGTGATGACAGCAGAACGCGACGACTAAGCCGCGAACATCGACACGGGGCTCGATGCTCATCGACTTCACCAGACAGCGTATCGCCAGGTCTAAAAAATAATCGAAATCACGTAGTTAGCTGCAGCTCAATGAAGAACGAGGATCCGGGAGATCATGGAGATACATACCTGTGGCTGTACCACAGAGATGCTTCGCTATCCCGACTTTGTGTTTGACGGGCTGGATCTCCGTGATCTGATTCAACTGCAAATCGGCGATGTCCGCGCGCACCCTATTTATCGCGAGGCGACTCTCCTCTCTCTTCAGCTTATTGTCGTTCTTGTGCCGGTGACTGGAACGATCGACTAGTAAGACGCAAGAGTTCGATTTGCTCTTTATGATCTGGCCCAACCAGTATGTTAATTGAGCTGTTTGAAGTACGGCTTCGCTTAGTGCGCGAGAAACTTCGAATCGTTATTTCGTGTACAAAAATATGTCATGTGGGAGAGCGAAAATCAATTTCACGAAGACCCCAAAGATTATAAATATATATTCATCCCAATTAATTATAATATGAAATATATCGGAATATACCTTTTCCCGCGCCGAATTCGATGAAACAGGTGTCATCCTGCACGAGACCAGCTTGCTCCAAATGTCCGAGCAGAGATGCATTTTGGAGCAAGTGCTTCCTAAGGCGATTGCCGCACGTCTTATCATTTAATCTGTCCTTCAGCACATTGTGTTGTAGTATGGCTTGAGTGAACTCTGGCAGCTTCTCTAAATTAAATTAAAGGTAAGAATAGAAAAAGAAAAATAATAGCTACATTATAATAATTGTGTAGTCATATTGTGATTATATAAATCAGATATAAATCCGGGAAATCTTGGGAGAAAGGGCCAATGTCTATATTTTTAGTTTTCATTCGGAAGTCTTAGTCCCAATTTACAAGAGGTGTTTTAAGCCTTAAGAAATTGACCAATCACGAATGTGAGAACAATCGACTGCGATTGGTCAGTTTCTTGAGTCTTAAGACTTAAAACACTATTGTAAATTGGGACTTACCCCTTGTCCACAATCTTGCTTTAAGATGTAAGCAGTAAACAAATTGACCAACCACGATCGATTATTCTTCTAATAAATGACCATGGTTGGTCAATTTGATTACTGTTTACGTCTTAAAACAAGACTGTGGACAAAGGGTTAGAATTTATAAACATTTACGAATTTAAATATTCTCCCAATTATACAATTCATGCTTCAACAACTGAAATATCAATAGAATATTAATTAACATAATGTATATATTGTATATATATATATATATATATATATATATCATATATATACTCTGAAATATGTATAAATTTTATAACTTCTACAGAGAAACTGTGAAAATGAATATTGGGCCTTTTTCTTCCAAGGACTGGAGGTAGATTCACCATAGGCTAAATGGATCTTTTTTATCACCGCCTCCACGACCAATTCGTCGAGCCGCGATAATGGCACGCGCGTTGGCGCCACCATGTCCTCCTTGTCCAGATTCACCCTCTCGACGATGAATGTCGGCTGTGCATCCATTCTGCGCTTAGCGTTGCACACAGTCAAGTGTTTCGTCAGCCTCGACTGGTAGCATGTGCTGGAAGTGAACACGTTGATCCAGTCGTGGAAAGATTTCGTTCTCTCTGTTCCATTGTGTCGCCGACCGTTGATGAATCAAATAAATCACAGCCCAGCTTATTTTATCTCTCAACGAATTTACAAATACACTTACTGTGTGGAATCCAAAGGACACTTCACCCTCCTGTCGTTCTCCGCGACGTCAGGGTCGTTGACGTTCTGTTGATGTTCGCCGCAGTATCGCTTGCCCGCTCGCACCGTCATACGGCAATACCGTCTCTTCCGTGCGACGAAATGCATGCAGTGATCATGATCTGCCATTCTCTTCTCGCTCATTCTCTGTTCTTCCTTCGATAAGACGCATTTCAATCCCGAAGATCGAGATACTACACGAGGTCTGTTCTTTTTCGCTGAACTGGTTGCATTAGCTCGCACTATTTCTCTCCTTTTTCTTCTCTCGAGTCTTAACTGTACATCCGTCTCTTTTTAAGCTACAAGCGTACGCTAGTTCAGCGAAAAAGAATGGACCTGGCTAGATATCACTCACTCGAGCTCTTACCTGTCAGAAGGTCGGAACTTCACTCAAGGTAAACGCACCTGCGGGTGTACAACTTCCCTTCGAGGTTACGTTAGGTCGGATCAAGCTAGATCGGGAGACCGTCAGTGGACCGGTGCGAAGTCAGCCGCGTATATACATTCCGCGTTCGAGTCGTCCCCCGCCGGCAGATGCCGCCTCCGTGAATCTTTCGAGGCGAACGTGTGAGCGCCATTACGCATTTATGGATTTTTAAATCGCACACCGCCTCCGTTCTCGGACCGATCATCGCGATCGCACGGCTTCCCCATCTCGGCCACGAGGGTGAGTTTAATAATCGTGCATCTCTGATTAAACTTATGTACGCCCGTCATTTAGCCACGCTTGAGAGAAATCGTTATTATTGCGAGTCATCTCCCGTGAAGGGTACTTTAATAGCGGCCGTGCCCTTTCGGTCCGGACGGTATGTTTAAACAGAGTTTAAGGGGTCAAAATTGATCCCCCCGGGCGTGTCTAGGAGTTGAGTGAAGCCGCGAATTCGGCTAGTTTCGCGCGCGAATTCTCCTCCCCTCCCCATCTATCATCTATCTATTCTATTTGTAATTATCTATTTCTTCTCTCTCTCTCTCTCTCTCTCTCTCTATCTATCTATCTATCTCTATCTTTCCTTCTCGCGCCAATCCACCAGAATTTTTGCAACTTACCTCGAGCTCTCTCACGACGAGTGGCGATATTTCCGGATCACCCTGTATTTATTGTTCACCGCCGAGGGAGATCTGAGCGCGCGTGTAATTCGCTAATGTAGAGCCACCCCGCTACTAGCCCGCCTCAAAGTTCACCTTTTACCTCCTCCCCTCGTCTTTCGCCCTCGCCGTCCCTCACCGTGCTCTCCTTTCCTCCCCCGCGTCACCAGCCCCTGCTGCCCTGCTCCCTCGATCCCGCAACCCACCCCCGCGGACCCTGTACTCCCCCTCGCGCTCCTCTGTAATTCCCTTTTCCCCGTGGCTCTCCTTCTCTGTCTCGCTGCAACTTTTCCTCCACGAGTGGTCTCTGTTCGCGCGCGCGCGCGCGCTGGCGTTATCTATCCTCTTGAAGCGAGCTATTACCCGATTGTTTCTTAAATAAAATATCATCGGTGTCCCGTCGCCACACCACTCACAATAATAATTGCCTCGCCGGTGTCAACCGGATCTCCTCTCTCGCGCGCGCGGTTTCTCTCGACTGCCTCTCTGTCTCTTTCTTTCACACACTCTCTTTCAGGATACTTTTCTCTGTTCCTTTCTTTTTTCTCCTTTTTCTTCCCATCCGTTTCGTTCTTCCGGTTCTTCGCTAATCTGTCACGCGCGTGGTGCTCGGAAAAAAAAATTCGGAGATATGCAAGCGAGTCTTACGCATCGTCGTCGTTATTGTTGAATTTATGTTGCGTCGAAGCGTTAACAGACAATGGGGAAGCAATCGTTGTCTCTTGAGATAGAGAAAGAGAGTGAGAACGAGAGAAAGAGAGAGAGAAGAAGCTGTTGTCCGAATAGTTTTTAACCTTTTAAAGTCCAGTTTATACGATAATGAACTTTGAGTCTTTTTTCAAATTATTAATAATGCATCCTAAACAAAGTTATATTCTCCGTCCTAACCTGTACCTTTCCAACTGTAGGATTGCATTTCAATAAATGCAACAAGAACAAAGTCGCCGAAGATCAGATTTATGTAAAGATATTTGCGAAGAAACGTAAATATATTCTGTTTACGGAAATTTTGACCGATGTTTTTCAACAACCGTGTTATAAATAAGCGGAAGAAAAATATTTTTCAAATAAAACAATTTTAATATTTTTTCACCTTTATACCTTTAACGCTCAATATACATAATTATTTACAATCAGAAAATCGCACTTCTAGACGGCTAATTTTATTTGGGCAAAAATTTTTTAACAGGAACATCCTTTAACCTCACTGTTCCGTACGGATCTACTTGACCTGAACAGAACAGCAGGGTTAAAACGATCTTATAAATTCTAAATTTTACTCCAATTGGGGAAGGATCGATGTACGGGTCTTAAAGGATTAACTCCCCCGTTAGTCGCAACACTTTCACCCGTGAATGGTCGCGAAGTATCTCACAGATACAGATTTTTCCATTAATTTCTTTTGCTTCCTGAAACAATCTTTCTTTCATCGGCACTGATAAACTCGGCACTAATAAACCAGGCACTAAAGTGCGTAAGAAAAAACAGTGAAGAACAAATTGACAAGTGCTAGGAAGATATCCGTTGGATATTGCGGGATAACGGAAAGTTAATTAACCAGTGAAAACACGGAGGCTGAAAAAGACCGGAAAAGATCCTATCGCGATTCGCGCTGAAATTATCCGGTCCGCGGGCTCCGATTGTCGGCGGAGCATTCGGCGAACTCCGCGCTCTGTGTGCCGAGTTAGTTACGTGACGCCGTCAAAATACTTGCTACTCGCTACATACGCGCGATACGCGTATGCCCATATATTTACGGCGCGCGTATAACGGGCCGCGAGAGCGCTAACGACCCCTTTTTGTTTCCCCGGTGCGCGGCTCTCGCCGGCGCGGCGCTGTGTTAACAAGCAGAAGGGATTAAGGAATGAATGAACAAGTGTTATCGTCGAGACGGAGTTCCGAGACGTCGCGCAGAAAGCGCCGCTCGGCTCTGCGTTCGCGAAAAAAAATTAGAAAAAAATGAAAAGCGGATATATAAAGGAAGGAGAGGGAGATTTAAAAAGTATCGCCGCGATCACTCGTGATTCACTTGCGATGCGCGTTTTGATCCTCGTGGCCGACGGCTGCGTTCAAGCGGAGAAAGAAGCTCAGTGAGCGCTTGAGGCCAGTTTTATAACTCCCCGTTAACTTAATCGGCTGATTATTCCATTGGAATTGACCGGTCGCATTTGTCGTCAAGCAGAATTGACCAAAAATAACCGATCACTGTTGACATTTACTCAGACGGAACAAAATGTTTTTTCATTCTTGATAAGTCCAAGAGACCAATCAGGAGCAATAATTATGAAGGGCTCACTGAGCTATTTTCTCAGCTGGACGCAGGCACCCGTCAAAGGGAATTTTCCGGTGTCATAGGTATCGCGACTTCCGCGAGAGAGAGAGAGAGAGAGAGAGACGATTATCACGTCGATATTCGTGTGCTCGTCGCGGTCATCGTTTTCCTCCCTCTCTTGTCCGAGGAGACCGCCGAAAGCTCACGCATCCTTTCGACGCTCGCGTTATCGGCACGATGAAGAACCGGCGGAGGAGTGGGGGAGGGGGGAGGGGGCGACGAGAGAGGACTATCAATAATTACCTGGACCCATGCCCGCCCCAACTCTAACGAAGGACGATTTCTAACGATCCCTCGCCAGCGTCCAACTTCTGGACGTAATTAATTCCCGAGCTAACCTGGAATGCTATAATTAATTGCCGGTGGGGCTGATGAGGGGCAGAGCGCGCAACGGGTGCAACAATATGTACCCGCTTCGATTAGAAGTGCCGTGGGGTGGGGAGGAGGGTAGAGGCGGACGGGCGGGAGGGTGGCCGGGCGGCAGAGTAGGAGGGAGGGGTGGGACCGCTTCTGCTCGCAGTTATGCAATTAATTAAATTCAGTTTGTTATTCGCCGTCGACTGTTAATTGCCGCAAAACTTCAAGAAACTGCACTCACACACGCACCCGCACACATAGTCGTACGCACACACACACGCACACGTCCGACACGCTTCGAAATACCGTCCGCCGCGCGGCTCAAGATCGCATTATAAAAGCCGCGTGAGCCCATTATCTTCTCGCGTCCGCGAAATTAATATCTAACGAATTTCTCTCGCGCGCGCAAACTGCGACTGAAACTTTTATCCGGGCGCTCGCGTAATTATTCATTGTGTGTGTGTGTGGCGCGCGATAATAAAACGCGTCGCTCTGTATCTTGATACCGGCGAGCAGGGCAGGGGGAGGGGAGGAAAGAGCGCGTCGTTTCTAAAAGAGGTTAATGGATTACGTCAGCGATACGCTCATAATTAACGAGCGTGTACGCGCGCGAACGCGAGCGCGCGTGCACACCCGCCCGCGCGCGGTAACGCGCCTGTTTGATTTCGGGATTTAATTGATACGCTTGTAAACGTAAGACAGCCGGCAAATAAAGGATTAGAGCGCGCAATGGCTGCGCGCGGCTTAATTAGCGCGAACGCGCGCGCGCGCGCGCGCGCAAAGCTTTCCTTTTCTTTCACTTTCGCGTAACGAAGCGTCTTGGAGTTCTATTTACGCGGTGGAAAGGAAAAAAAATATTTAACACGAAAAAAGCGAAGATTCTCGCGCGGAATAACGAGAGAAATTGGACGTCGCTATTTTCGGACGTCGAACTACGGCCATGAAATCTCTCTCTCTCTCTCTCTTTATATATCTATATTTTTCTTTCTCTTTCATATTTAAGTAACTCGTTAAAAGAACCATATCGAGGATGTCTCTCCGTTTTTACAGTCGCGATCGGGTTCGCGTCTCGGTCCGGCGGCATTCTCGTTTCGGTGGCGCGCTTTGGCGCGTCTATTCGGCCTTTGTTTTTAAGAACAAATAAAAAGAGTCCGAACGGCGGAGGAAGAGAGAGATAGATAGAGGGAGAGGCAAAGATGGAGGAGCATGAGGTAGGAGGTAGAAGAGGAGGAGGAGGAGAAGAAGAAGAAACGAAAACAATCGATACGACACGCCGGCAAGGCCAATCGGGCCGCGTTCTATTCGCGGTGCGGCCAATCAAAATGCCTACTACGTCGCCGGCAGGCCCGCTAATTAGACGCCACGTAAATCAGTCCTGAAACTCAACGTTAATTAACACGGGTTTCCGTTGGAGTTGCTTAGCCACCTATTTATCGAACGACACAAACGCAATATGGTCGGACACGTGTACATCCGTTAAATGCCTTCTCTCCGGGACTGGAGAATGTCGGGGTCCGCACATTGCCGAGGAGTCGAGCCGAGAGTCGGCGTCTGAGAACCGGCTGCTGCCTCCGCCTCGCGCGACCGGCCGAAACATTCGAATCATTCGAATTAATTCAGCCACTCGCGGAGAGTAAGAGGTAAGGAATAGTCACGGTGGCGCGGGATCGATTTAACGGTTACCGCTCCGCTTCTCTCCGTGCGGGTCGGAGAGACGGAATATTATAATATGATACGGTACACGCGCAAGTCCGCTTGATCCTTGATACATCCATTGACCGTGGAGCGTGTGAACGCTAGCGCGTTGGCGCACCGCGTGCGCCGTCGAGAGACACGGATCTCTGACATTTTCTCTTCGGATCGACGGGAGGGTGGGGGAGACAGCAATGACACACAGCGATACACACCAGACACGATCGTATCTTTTCCTTTTTTCTAAAAACTTGTGATTTTATTAATTAATAAATGTGTTCGTATAGTGTGTGTGTGTGTGTATGTGTGTGTGTGTGTGTGTGTGTAATTGTATTTTACAAGAGGCCACGAAACCACATACAGATGTCGGGTCTCGAATATGAGAAGAGTCGAGATAAATCAAATAACAAAATTAACTAGACGCGCGTGGTGGGATCGAGAGCCGGGCCGCGCGCGTGTCATTTTCGGCCGGCCGCTTCGGGGACTCGCTCGCGTGCTCGTTTGCCGCTTCGGGGACTCGCTCGTTTCCTCTGTTCGCGGAGTGTGCGCGATCTCCCAGAGATCGCGAGACGCCGGGAGAGATCATCTCGCTCCCTCCGCTTCTCCTGCTTCTTCCATTTCGCAAATCGCTGCTTCGGTGAGACAGACAGACGGCAACCAGATCCGCGAGACCGGTGTACTCGATGGTGGTGAGAGAACGTCGACGCGACGGCGACGACGCGGAACGCGAGCGTGAAGTTTCGGAAGTTCGCGCGATTCGGAGACGGAAGTGATTCTCAGCGAAGCGATGAGATTAGTAACGCGCTCGGTGGAGCGAAGCCAACGCTGGTCGGCGTCGCAGGACGCGCTCTCGGCGACGCCGGTTCACCGGGGCGAACGACGATAGCACGTGTGTTGTTGCGTTACGACCGGCCGGTCTCGCCGTCGCAGGTTGGGAGCGCGCGAAGAGCCCCGTTCGCCGTTCGCGCTCGATAGTAAATACATAACCATTTATATCACACAAACTTTTAACAATATACAAAATGTACCCTATATACAAGATTAAATTACACAATGCAACGATGCACAAACTCCGGTCCGAAGGCCCGGCGGAGCCGGTAGTTCGATCCGATTACGCGCAACGACGACACGACGACGGGAAAAACGGGAGAGATCGAGGGAGACGGGGAAGTACGGTGCGAGACGTCCTCCGACGTTCGAGCAGAGTCTGGGTTTATAGTTCGTTAAACGTCGATGTCGCGTGTATGTGTGTGTACGTGTATGTGTGTGTGACTACGAGAGCGTGCGCTCGTGGTAACGATAGGAATCGAAATCAACGCGAACCGCTATAGTTCCTCGCGCATCCGCCGCGACGAAGGTCTTGCGTGCGCGCGAGTCGTTCGTCGGAAATCCAAAGTCGATGCCGAAGAAGTTTGTGCATCCTTGACATAATCCGTCAGCGCGGCTCCTTGTCCGATCTAAACGCGAGAGTAGGTATAAATATAAATCCATTATACATTTATATTTATACGTACACGCACGAAACATGTAACTCCTCCCTCCCTTTCACTTTCTCCGCCGGCGTTCGCAGAGTCATGATGGACCAGGGGATCGACTTCGATCGATCGATCGATCGATCGATCGTTCGTTCGACCGAGAGAGATCCGTCGTTCGGCGTCGACTAGTGATTGTTCTCGTCGCAATCGGAAGAGAGAGAAACAGAGAGAGAGAGAGAGAGAGAGAAGACGAACACGATTCGTTCTTCCCCTCCCCTCTTTCTCTCTCGCTCCTTCACTCTCTCGCGGAGTGGAGCTTTGAATCTTCAACATCGAGTCGTTGCGTCACATGACTCTTGAGCATCGTTCTCGCTCGGAAAGTTTACCGGAGCGAACGACTTCTTCTTTCTTCTTCTTCTCTTGGCGCGCGCGGCCGAGAGCTTGGTGAACTTTCCGAGCGAGTGTGCGTGCGCGTGCACGTGTGTATGCGTGAACAACGCTTAATCGGCGACGCGCGCGGAGATGTCATTGAAAACTAGGCTATTTTGACGAATGAAAGGAGCAAAGGACGCGCGTAAAGTCCTTACGCATTTCGCGCCGAAACTCTTTGCCGTTTTGCGAATGCCGTTGTACGGATGATAGTGGTTGTTTGTTTGCTCGTTTCTGTATTGTACTTTGAGCTTCGAACGCGTCGTGCCCCGCGATATCATTGTCCCTCGTCGCCGTACGCACACGCGCATACGCATAAAAATAACATTACACAATGTATTTTATCATACAATATTATGTTATGCCGCGTCGGGAGACACGTGCGTGCGTGCGTGCGTATGTGTGTGTTTGTGTGTGTGTGTGCGCGCGTGCGGGCGAGCAGGCGGGCGGCGTGTCACGACGTCCGCACGCCAGCAACGCTTAATTACTCCCGATGGAATTCGCGAACGAACGCCGGGGGACACGCGGGATCACGACGCGGAGTCCTCGGTCGAACGAATCGAGTCTGAACGGTTGTCTGGACGTCGAGGTCGCCGTTACTGGCGCGAGAACGCGCGTTCGACACGTCTCCGCGCGAGGGAAACGATCGGGGCGCGCGCGCACATCGGCCGATGTTCGACGTAGACTCCGTTAAACGACGGCGGGATATACATTCTCATCTCTCGGCGGACGATTGAGCTTCGTTCTCCCCTCGATGACATATAACATCAGTGGTCACTCTCACTTTCTCTCTCTCTCTCTCTCTCTCTTTCTTTTGTGGTCTACACGTGGCTGCGTCGCAATCTACTCACGATCATACACACACACACACACTTACGGTAAAACTGATCCGGATGTGTTGCCGCGTGAAAACGCCGCCAAGTCGCGGCGGATAACGGATTTCGTCTTGTACAACAGGCTTAATTGATTATGCCGCTTTGAAAACGACGAATTCTCAAGAGAGAGCAAGACAGAGCGAGCGAGAGAGGGAGATAAAGCGAGACGGAAAAGAGAGAGAGAGAGAGAGAGAGAGAGAGAGAGAGAGAGAGAGAGAGAGAGAGGAGCGAGAAAGAGAAGGAGGAAAGCGACGAAGCGAGGCGATGCGGGTGCCTAACAAGGAGGATTCGAATGATAATTCCGTGTCGTTCGTCTCACCTCGGTACTCAATTAACGATGGCGGGAACAAGGGCCGCCTAATGAGTTTACGGAGTGCGCGCGGCGGTGGCAGCGATGGATCGACAGGAGCGATGATTTTGAAAGAAAAATAATTTTCTAAGGGTCCAGAACTGTGTGCTTCGTGTCTCGTTCGATCGCCGTCGAATTATCGCTTCTTTCTCTCTCTCTCTCTCTCTCTCTCACTCTCTCTTTCTCTCTCTACTTTCGACTGTCTCTGACTTACTCCCTCGCGCTATTAGATCCTCGTTGATCGTGTTGCGGATGGATTTGGAGACTTTCCGAAGACGCGTAGTTGTTTCTCGAGGTGGCGGCGGCGAGTAGTCGAATGCACGCTTCAGAAATTATAAAAAAACGGTCAAGAGAGAGCGACGAATTAGGGCTCAGACACAATAAAGGGAATAAGGAACGAGGAATTAAATATAAGGAATTAGGAACAAGAGGAATTCAATCTCGACAATCATGCTTCAATCCACAATAAAGTTAAATCCACAATAAACAGAGAACTAAGATTAGAAACACTCTCGACATTCTGTGCTTTATAACTTTGTGTGCTCATCGGACTTAATAGTTGACTGAAAGTAAACCTTTAAGATGCCCATCATTAAATGACCTATCAATATATTAGGTGTCCCGATTAGTTTTGAGGGATTTTTTGCAAAAAAAAAACACATTTATGTTAGAGAGACGTTAAATTATGTTTACGAATGCACATGACGTGACAAATTATTTGTAGAAATGTCCAAGCTTTGAACTGACGTACCAACTAATCAAAATATCCCTAATAGATTTGTAATTACTGCCACAAATAGTGAGCCCTCAAAACTAACCGGAACACCTAATACAAGTGGAAATCAGTTTGAGTCAATCGATAATTATAAAGAAAATGATGAAAGTGTCAATAATGACAGTAGAGTCTCGTTAAGTGATCTCGTTTTAAAACTTTCTTACAACTTATTCTTTATTCCTTTCATCGCATTTTAAATTATAGCTTATTCCTAACTTCTTATATCATATTCCTAATTCCCTATAATTAATTCCTCCTCACTCATTCTTTTCATTCATGTCTGAGCCCCCAGGATGGTCTCTCGAACTGAAACGAGATGCTGATATGATATAGTGTGTATGTGTGTGTCTCTCTCTCTCTCTCTCTCTCTCTCTCTCTCTGGAATGAAAACACGATTTAACAGCGACAGCTCGAGAATCGACTGGCGGAAAAGGCCGACGGCTCGACGTCGATTCGTAAGCGCGCGAAGGGACTGCTCGCCGGCGGCACACGCGCGCGAGCTGTGATTCAGCAGCGAGTGTTCAACGAAAATTCTACAACACTCCACATCGCACACACCGGGGTGTCACGGCGCGACACAGTGGCGCGGCATGATGGCGAAGGGTTTTAAGAGAAGGAAAACCGATGTCACTACTGGCGGCCGATCGGTGTTGTACGCACACGGTGGGTCCGTACGTAAGACTTTCTTCGATTCTTTACAATTGAGCAAAGATTATTATTAACGAGAACCGGCGGACTCGCGCGGCGCAACGTCGGAGTGTCGTCGCGAGCCTGACCTGTCGCGGGTACACCACGTTGAAGGTTCCTTCTCCTTCTTTTTTCCTCCTTCTCTTTGGAAGGATATACACGGATACTCGATAATATCACTCGATTCTCTCGGACTCGTGGCACCCGCGAGAGGAGCGATACCTCGGAGTGCGCGACACTGTCCCCTCAACCTCTTCGAGGCTCATCCGTGCAGCCGGCTGCACGAGGTTTCGACAATCGCCGTAATGGAAAAAGTGTGGTCCGCGTGTCCGGGCCTGCCTGTCCAGCATGCTGGACCTAGTGTATACCTTGACATTTTTTCCCGTGAAAAATTTTTCACGCCTCTCCCTCTCTCTCAATACAGCGCGAGCAAGTATATATCCGGGATATTTTCGCACTTTTTTTCCCTTCCGAAATTGCGGAGACCGAATCTAGCCCCGGGAATGGGGAATTCAGCAATTTAACAACTGGATTCGACAAATCGCTCGTGAATCTCAGCCAATTCGATAATTGACGACAGCAGTAAACATCATGGATTAACTTTGTATGTATTCACGAAGAATCGATCGCACGGAAAAAAAGAATCAGCCCCCACAGATAAAGATCGGCTCCCACGAGACAAAATTAACCTAGCCGTATGATGATACAAGTGAAAGTTTAGCTGAGTTAATTTATCTAATTGTTTTTGCCCCTGCTAGCTAAAAACTATGTCTAGTAATTAAATTTCAGTGATACATGTGGAAAACCAATTCCTTTTCTCCGTGTCGAAGGATCGATTACGGATTCAAGCGATTATATTCATACCGTTCAAAGCGCGTGTACTCGACCTCGTACCTATGACCGTATAAAAAAGAAAAGGAACAGTTGGCGTTCGCGCCCGCGTCAGGTTCAGGGGTGTTCGCGCGACTCCGGACAGTTATCGACGCTCTTAAAAGAGCGAGCGCGCGGTTCTCTCGGCGTTCACACCAAGTTCGGGCAACACACTCGACGTCGGCGTAGCCAAGCGCGCGCGAGGCTTTCGGTGTCTGTAGTTTCGAGTTCGATCATGTTCAACATCGCGGCGAGCCGAAAACTCGGCCGTCGCGGCAAGTTCAAACACGTGCAATGTCACGGGGTCGAGTCGCGGAGAGAAGTCCGTCGACGTCCAGCGGACGTCACGAAGGAGAGGCTACACGCGCGGGGAGCCTCTCTCATTCTCTCATTCTCTCTCACTCTCTCTCTCTCTCTCTCTCTCCGATCTGCGAGTGATCCTCCCAGGGTAACCCGTCTCTTCTTCCTCTTCTTCTTCTTTCGCCGTCATAGCGAGACCGCTATGATCCCGATTGGAATCGGCCCAGAGAGGGAGGGAGGGAGTTCAATCGCAGGTATCTTGGGCCCAAGGCGACCACTCCTGATAGTTGGAGGACGCCTGCAGGTGCGATTGCTGCTGGCCCGCCAGACCCGGATGCACGAGCCCCATCTGATGATGGTGGTGATGGTGGTGATGGTGGTGATGGTAGTGCTGATGACCCGGCGGAGGCGGCGAATAGGGGTCCACCCCGACGGCGACGTCCACGACGTCTACCTGAGGCGGTACGACGGCGGGCGTCGGCTGCGGAGAGGGTTGCACCTTCTTCGGGCGACCGACCGGGTTGCCACCTCATTCGCGGCTCCTTCGAGGCCGACCTACCTTACCTTTTCTAACGGGCGCGCCGCCGTTACCGGCCGCCGCGGCCGCCGCCGCCGCGACGCTCGACGATTTCACGATCTTGTGCCAGTCGGATTCGCACACCGGCGAGCCGGACAGCAGATAATACCTGGAATTGAAAATGCACACGGAGTGTCGCGTCAGTGTGACCGGCTTCCTTTTTACGTCGGTGTCATTGTGATACACTTTAAGGTAGTAGCAGCGCCGAATTTGCCGTATTTTCAGTGACACATTTAAGGGGGCTACTCATGAATTTAACATTTTAATCTATCGAGCAAAATTACGTGCCTAAACGTTTTATTCGTGTATTTGAATTTCTCGCAGAATAGTACAGACTATTTCTATTCTTTCGTTGTAACATTACTTGTCTCGAGACCGTTAAGAGACACCTAATAATGTATTATTTAAAAGGAATTTCAGTTTTTCTGGCAAATGAAGTATAAAAAAGAAACAGTAAAAATATATTCTGTCGTTTTATTTTCATATTTCACACTATTAATTTATAAAAATATAGTATAATTTCTCGAATTACATAGCTAAATAATGTTTTATTGCCATTTTCTGTTTTTCTCAACACATAAATACAAATAGAAAAAAATTAAAATTCGAAAAGGATATAATTTACGATAGAAAATTTGTCGACTAATGTTATTGGAGCAATATAGGAGAGTTTTCGGATTATCCTGCAAATCTGCTCAATCAATCGCGGGGGTCGTTTCGCGAAGAATGTCGAGGGTGCATTTTCTCACTTCTGTCGTCATCAATCAAGATGACTGCGACGAGAAAGGTGAGCGAGAGCCTTAATAGCGGGGCTACGATCGGGGAGAGACGCGCAGCAGGATGATCCGGGAATGTTCAGGGGACAATAAAAGAGATGATGAAGAAAGAGCGCTCACCTGTCGCCGGAGACGAGTTGGCTGCCGCACTTGTTGCAGTTAAAGCATTTCAGGTGAAACACCGACGCGCCGGCCCTCATCACCAGTTCGGACGCGGGTATCGCGTTGCCGCAGCTCGCGCAGACACCGCTGTTACCGAACATCCTGCAAGAAGAAACACGCATGCACGATCAGATTCAGGTCCGTGGCTTCTCTCCGAGGTCTCGATCGGGAGGAAGAACGCGGATCTTACGCGAGTGACGACCGTCCATCCGCAAGACGAACGAACGGACGGACGGCCGTCGAGACGAAAGCGCTCGCGCTCGCCAGGTGTCCGATCACGCCGCTAATTCTCCGATTATTTTTAACAATTTCGCCCGCGGCCGTTTACGTACAAACGCGCACACATACACGTGTTTGAGAGTGTGTCGTCCAACACCAACGCGCCACGATGCGCGCTCGCGCTCGTATCCTCGTTAATGGCAGTTAATGTTTGCGAAGCGGTTGTCAGCCGTATACCCGTGGCTCGTAAAGCCGGCTGTTTATGCAGCAATTAGCTATGTAACGATACGTAGGTATGTCGAATGGGAATTCGACGCGAGCACCGCGATTTCACGTCTCTCTCTCTCTCTCTCTCTCTCTCTCTCCCGCTCCCACAGGCTCCTCGCTCGCTCCCTCTCTCCCTCTGTTTCTCTCTCGCGGTCAACGCCGTAAGGAGGAGAATGCACCGGCGCGTACTCCGGTACACACGCACTCCGGGACCGATCCCCGCGAGTTTCGAGGAGACTCGAGTCGCGGAGATCGGCCGATCGGGCCAAGGAGCCGTTGATCCGAAATGAGATTAAGCGCCGCGCCGATGTTACGAGCTCGCGCGTTACGGTTAAAACGGGATTCCGTTTAACTTTAATGAAATATTTAATTGAATCGCGCGCCTTTGAAACGCGCGGTAGGGTGTATCCACGGCCAGAGAGCGGCACATCGATATTCGAGTCGGACTTTGCTCGAGAGAGCGGGCATAAGGTTGTTACGACGGAGCGGATTGGATTTGAGGTTTCTCGTTATTAATTTAATTACCGGCTGACAGTTCTATAATTAAATTGCTAATTTATCTGTCCGGGATCTGGCTGATCGCGCGGGCGGGACGTGCGGGAGGGCGCGCGCGGGGCCAGCGAGCTCGATGATCGCTCGCCGCGAATGACGTTTCAATCCTTTCCTTTTTATTCTCTCTCTCTCTCTCTCTCTCTCTCTCTCGCTCTTTCTTTCCTGTTTTTCCCGTTTTTTGCGCGCCGTCTTCGATCGCTCACAACGCTTCAATTATAAATGCGTGCTCCCTTCGCCGGAAAATGCGGATGCAAACGAGCTCGTGCCGCCAGAGAGAGAGAGAGAGAGAGAGAGAGAGAGAGAGAGAACGGTAATACGCGAATTTTCTGATCGCGAGATCCTCCGCACGCGCGACGTTACTTTCTCGTTACGAGATACCGCTGGAGAAAGTCGAATCATCCGTTGTGTACGCGGCGTTTGGTAAGAAAAAGAAAAAAGATGAAAAAATGGTCGGACGTGATAATCAATCGTATTATGCACAACGTGAACGCAAAGCGATTGTTCGACCAGGAAGAACGGCGTCGGGGCGCGCGATTGCAAATTGTATATACCGATACTATTTAATCGCGTTATTAAATCAATCCTGCCGCGAGTCAATTAAGCGGCGCGATTAGTCTCGCCTTATACTCCGTTACTCGGCGAGGTGTTAAAGATACCGCTCATCGCGCCACGTGGTGAGATCCTAATCAAAGGTGCGCGCGAGCGAACGAACGCATTTCTTCGGGAATTTCGCGCGCCGAGAGGCGAGGCGTCCCACGTAAATGAATCGACGTATGCCAAGTTTTAATTGCAGCCGCGTCTTTATCAACGTGGCCGTGCACACTTCCGTGGCCGCATCACCGTTGTCGTCGTCATCATCATAATCATCATCATCATTATCATCATCCTCTTCGCGGGGTTAATGAGCGGTGCGAGGTGCGCGCGAGCGCACGGCCGAATCGCGCGCGCTCTGTTTTCGATTTCTCCATAATTACTAATTAGAGGCCGAGGCGGCCGAGTAGTCAATCAGCTAGAACGGATAGGAGGGAATTATACAGATGGTGATCGAGGATCACCCATAAAACCTGCTTCTCTCCTCTCTCTCGCTCGCTCCGGCCGCCTTAATCGCCCAACGTCATTACCGGTATCATTATTCACGCGTGTTTTACGCGACCTTTCTGAAAAGCTGACGACACAAGCAGAGAGGCGTTTTCGATCACCTGCGAATCTTATTTACGAGGAGAAAAAAGGAAGGGGAAGAGATGAAATAAATAAATCCGTGCGAATAATTCAGGAACGACGACGCGCGGAATCATGAATTATTCCCTCGACGGTCCTCTAATCGCCGATATTTAAAGAGAGGAACACTTCATTCGGTTAACTGATAGTCGGAGACATGTCGGAGAGACAAGTCCAAGCTTGAGCATATCAATCGACGGGCGTACGCTTGATAATGATGTCGCACGGTAGCTCGGTCGCCGTCGTCCCGGTTGCTATTAAATACGCGGCAGGGATTTTTTTCATTTCGACATCTGGGACGGATCTTTATGGTAATCAGGCGCACTCGGCTTGTATTAGATTAGGTGTCCGGTGGTGCTCCGCTTAATAGGCGGAATAAGGCACATGTGCTCCCCGGTCGACCGGCGGAGTAATTGATCGAAAGTAACCGGCGCGGAGTGTAACGGTCCGATGCCCGGTGATGAATGACAACGAAATACTGTCCGCTGTTATGACGATAGCGATGTTATCATCGCGCGCTCCCGCTCGCACACTCGGCTAATAATTATTTCAATAAATCTTCGATAAAACTGTGATCGCGCCGGGATTTATCTCGCGCTAGTAGCCGAACATATTTCAGCTCGCCGAGTACGGTTAATTACACCTTGTACTTCTTGCGCACTCGGTAAGAGTGCGATCTGCCCTCCATTGTGTACATTCTCTCTCTCTCTCTCTCTCTCTCTCTCTCTCGAGGAGAAAACCGGATCCCGGATTCATCGGGCGCTTCGTCGGGATCTCGTCGCGACCGAGACCGCGCGATTCCGTGTAATTTGTATTTTACAGTTCTCTGGTGTCGATGGGTCGTAAAAATTCGGCGACGACGATGACAACGACAACGTCTCGCCGTTCGTGGCTGTCCGTGCGCGGCCACGAGGCCGCGTAGAGAAACGTCAAACGCAAACCCCTGGCTCGCCGGCGGCGTTTAATAATTTTAATGAGCGAAGTTCACCGCGCGCGCACGCGGTCTACACTAAGAGAGTAATTGGCGATTACGGTCGACGGGGCGATCTTTAACGAGCGGTCTACGCAATTTCTAATTAGTTGATTTCACCAATGATAATACGAGGAGTGCCCCTCTTTTCCCCTCTTCCCTCCTCTCACATTCTCTCTCTCTCTCTCTCTCTCTCTCTATATATATATATATATATATATATTGCTCACTCGTTCTTCTCTCGTCCGACTTCGCTCTCCAACTTGATACGCAATTTGCCGCTCGCCCTCTTACGTTTTAATTGCGGCCGACGTGTCAATCTTGCCCGCTCGCGCTAACAAGCGTTCCTAAAGGCGCGTGTCACACGTGCGCCCGATATGAAGCGCAATAACACCGAGCGGAGACCTTCTTTCTCTCTCTCTCTCTCTCTCTTTCTTCGGCCGCCACGATCGGATTGAAACGCAACGAAAATCACTTTCGCAACAAAATTCATAAATTTCACACACATTAATACACACACCTGAACACTAATTGTCCGAAGTGGCTCACTTGTGAACCTCGGAGGCATAATTTTCCGCTCGTCCCAAAGGTGAAAAAAATCTCTCGCGCCGATTTCGACAGGACGTGAGACACGCATCGCTCTGCCCCGCAGAGATTGCAGCGGCAATTTTTTCCACCGGAACGCATGATGTTTCTATCGACTTGCCGCGAGCCGCCGGAGAGAAACTGGAGAGCGAAGAGAGAGAGAGGGGGAGAGAAAGCGTTATTTATTCGACGTTTTGAAATAAATCCCTTCAAACACAACAATGATTACAAATAGTACTATTCGGGTATAAAAAGATGGTTGTAATAATAACGACAATAATCTTGTAGCATAGCAGAACCAATGAAACAAATAAGAAATACATAACCAATACAATGAAGCTCAAAGAAAAATCGAAAAGACAACGACAAGTCAGAAAGAAGCATATGAGAGTGAAAAGATTAATCATTTTTACAGGATATTATTACAACAAATTTATATATTAACGTCGATCATTAGATTAGACTATTAATTGTTTCCCAGTGATAATACACTGATTGCACTTTAGAGAGTAAAAGGAATACTTAAACTCCTCTACTTTCCTCAGTGTGGAGGAATACGATTCCATAATTCGCAAGCATGGCTTCTGAAGGAACGCTTGAAGAATTCAGTCCGACACTTTGGGAAAACTAGTTGATCGGCAGCAGCTCTAGTGTTTCTGACGGTTCTCGTGTTGCATTGAACAAAGACGTTTCCCAGAGAGAGAGAGAGAGAGAGAGAGAGACCTCGGAGGATTTCCTCGCGATTAAAAAGCGCTCGCAAACTCGGAAAGGCGATCCTTATTCATCCTTGAAGCGGCAGAATGAAGCGCGCGCCGCGCAAGTTTGGCCATCCATTTCCGAATCATCCATAGATATTCGCGTGATGTGTGCGCTTCTCTTCGGGCGCAGCTACAATGCGCTATCGTGAGATCGTCCCCTGCGTACAAACCGCGGTGCGCCGCTCGATTTCGAAAGATTCGTGACCAAGTGCTCTCCCGCCACCCTCCGCCGGATCGCCACCCTCTCTCGCCAACAGGCACCCTCGCGCTCATTATGCGTGCCCCTTTGCCGCGCACACAGCGGCGCGCTGTCGCTAACAAGAGGGAATAAGAGAGAAACACAAGGACGTGCGGGCGCACATATATACCGAAACGAGACATATTCACACGCACACACACGCGTGTGTTTGCGTGTGCGTGCGTGTGTGTGCGCGCGCAGGCAACCCCCGCCTGTTAATGAGTTAGACTACCTTACCCTCGGCACTTTAATTGTCTAAAGCACAAATTGGGCGGCTTTAATTAGCGTAATTATT